GAATGGCATTGGCTCAAGACCGACTGGACGGACTGCCTGGTTGCATAAAGAAGTGTTCGTGATTGTGTGATTGTGGAAAGGGATTGATCTCGTGTTAGATTGCTCTCGCTGTCTGGATTGTATAGTGGAATTTTGCACTCTTCCTCTTCTCTCCTCGAGGTGACTCTTCATTTTCATCACGTCACCCCTGAGAAGGCCAGTCCTTTTCTGTGGAAGTTCGAAGTGGAGCACTGCACATTGTAGCTTCAGGAGCGAGAGATTCGAGAGTACCTTCGCCAACATGCGGATCTCCTTTCTCTCCTCGGGGCTGAAGCGCCCACGCCGACCTCTGCGCCAAGGGGGTCAACTGAGACGCCAGGGCCGCATCAGCCGCTGCCCCCCCCACACAGGCCGCAGGCAACGCATGCAACGCATGCGACCCCGCAGCCCCCAATAACACCACTCTCTTCCTCTCGCGAACCGACTACAACTTCACCGACCCGTGCTCCCGTGGCGTCACATCCGGAAGCACAACACACGCGGCGTACCACCGTTCCTCCAACGCAGTCGAAGCTGACAACATTGCCGTCAACTGTACCTGCAACATCCACATCAGCAAAGCTTTCGCCTGTGCTCAGCTAAGCTTCTCGAGCCCATGGTGCTTTGCTGGCTGCTAGTTTTTTCCTAGTGTGAAAGAACTGGCAGAGGCAACCACGGCGGTGTCCTCGAATTTGAGGCCGACGTCTTGGGATCATTCATGTTACGTTTGTGCGTTCAAAGTCCCTTGTCCCGTCTGGCTGCATGGTGGAGATGAGGGCAGGGAAGCATCCCGTGAGGCCCAGCACGACTTCCATGAGGAGTCGTTCAACAGCACTGGGCTCAGTCCAGTCGACGAAGAGAGCCGTTTGGCCCCTCCAAGTGCTCTCAGAAACGAGTGTGAGTCTTGAGTTTGAGGACATGATAGGCCATGCCAAAGTATTATGGTGTTCTGCGGGCTTGTGAATGGTCTCGTCTCGCAATCAGCTGTGAACAACCTTGGGCGAATCTTGCCGAAAAATTCGGGAACCGAGACCATGCAAGCCTCGCAAAGGCCAAAATCTGATTGGGTTTCTCACACCTTTCTGAGGCAATGCAGCTCCATCTCCAACCACGCGGAATGCCTCACGACCGCCTGGACTCCTTGTGGTTTCGGCATGAGGATGCCGGGAGCCTGAATCATGGTCAGGTCAGGCCGTCATCCATGTTCTGCTGGGTGTGCGAGAGGCAGGAAGCGGGGAAGTCGCCGGGCGGGAGGAGGAGGGGACACGCTTCGCAGGTCAGGGGCGTTGGCAGCGCCTATGCCTATGAGCTCGACCCCACCTTCGACTTGTCTCGGCGCGAGGCCAGAAGAGAGGAGACAAGCTCAGAGCCTTGGCTCAGAGCCTTGGCACACCCCTGAGGCGCAGCTGGCCATCGTGGACTTCTGTCAGCGCTTGCGACAGGAAGCACAGCTCAAGGCTGGAAGAGCACTCTCTACGATAGCTGTACTATAGCTGACGAGCTCTACCGCCAGGTTGTCAAAGGGCAGTGGAGCTGCTGGCCATCGAAGTTGAAGGCCGATTTCACCTGCCATGAGACCCTGAAAGAAGTTGGTTTGGGCTCCGGGCTCACGGCATGGCTCACACGGAGTGCGCTCTCGCGGTGTGTGGCATGGCGAGGATTTCCTGCTGCTCGAAGCCCGGATTCTGAGCGGAGATATCTCCGATGTTCAGTTTAGCCGAGCTTTTGCTGTTGAGCCACCCTGGTGTTTCAGAACCGTCGTCTTTCTCATGTCTCGACATGACTCCTTTTCGCGACCCGTTTTCTGAGGCGCAGAGGGGACCAGTTCCCCACGTATGCTATATGGCCGGCTGTACGAAGCTTTCTGGCCCAGGCTGGGAATTTGGAAAGGAGAGATGGATGGGCTTCTGACAAGTGCAGGTAAGGGGCGAGGCGGACCACGTGGGTTTCGTGCCATCCTCGGGCCGGACGTAGTAGGATGTGCACAAAATGCGCGGCATTTTGGAGGCCGAGGATGGCAGCGTGTCCTGGCCGGGGGCTTGGGCCGGATCTCGCAGTACCTCGCGGGGTCCCTCGCAGTCGGAGCCTAGGGTGCAGCTGGACTACCGCGTGGAGTTCGACATTTGGAGCTCGGGTCGACAGGTCCAGCCGCCGCCTCGGTGATTGGCAGCTGTCTGCGAAGCCGAACGCGAAGAAGCGGCGAAGCGGCGAAGCCCTCAGGCCTTACATGGACGTGTGGGCCGCCCTCTCGGACGCATGACGTGAGCCTCCGCAAGGCTTCAAGTCCACTAAGGAAGACACCGCCCAGCGTGTCTTCGACGAGGTCACAAAGAAGTACAGGGGTCGGGGCCGCAATTCTCAAGATGTGCTTGCTGGTACTTCTGCTTTCTGGTGCCAGCCGAGTCTCAAGCTTTTCGACTTTCGACTGTACGCAACCAGATCAGCAACAGAGAACCCTGCCGACGTAACCACCTTTGCCAGCAAGTTCCTCAGTGAGAGCGATGACACGCTGGAGCACATGGCCATGACCGGTCTCAGTGCAAAGCAGCTACTGAACTCGCTTCAGCTGGGGATCTGTGTGATTGCCGCCCGCTCGCATTTGTGATGTTGCCGTCGCGCTTTTCTACTCTTTTTCTTTGCAGCGCAGTCTCACCGAGGACAGCTGCTCTCTGCAGAAAGCAGCTGGCGAGTCTGGCCTTCAGCCTGCCGATGCAGTCAAGAAGCTGCAGGACAGGGCTCGCGGCGGGACGGACTCGTGAAATTGGGCACATTCTGCTTGTTGCAAGAGGCGCAGACCGATTGCCCAGAGTCTAGAGTACTTCTGTTGAGACTGTTGTAGCGATGAGTGGAATATGTCAATCGAGTGTGGCTGGATGATGGGATCCGAGAGCCAGGAATGGCTCCTTTTCCAGGCCCTAACCCCGCGGGCAGAGCAGGCGACCCTTCGCTCTCCGCATGGTGAGGCTGTGGCGTCGCCGTTACCCATAGCCGCAGCCATCGTGTCAAGGTTCGGAGGTTTCGACTCTCAGAACAGCCTGGCTGAAGGACCTTGGCTTGAAAGTGATTTTGATTGTGTACGATGACGACGAGGCCACCCTCCTCCCCTCCTTCCCTCCCCTTCCTTTTGCCTGTTCTCCCGTGGTGCTTGTCGGGCAAGGTGGAGTCCCAGCCCGCGGGGCTGCTGCTTCACCGGGCCTCCTTGGACGACGGGGCGGAGGTGGAGTGTGCAGAGGGGAAAGAAAGAGAAGACGAACAGCCTTCTTAGGTTGCTCGAGTCGCTGCTGAGCCACTGAGAAGCACTGGCGGCTTCAAATCTCTGTGCGTCGCTTGACAAGCTCTGTTTAACAGCAAAGGTACGAATGCGCCTTCGCCGTTCCGGCCAGGGCTGGTGAGGCTCTTCGCGTCAGCTGCAGTTGAAGTATCCCGCGCAATCTACACTCGAGAGAGAACTTCAGATTGTCACAGCAGGCATCGTGGCCATGGACGTTGCAGATGGAGTACAAGCAGCCAGATTCAAGCCTGCCCCGGTACCCGACGATTTCCGGCACTGGGCTAGCGGAGTTTAGGAAGGACATAGCAAGAGCATTACCCGAGACACGATGCGCAGCACGGATAGACTGGCAGCCTCTGTGTAGTTCAAATTACTCTCGCCCAGGAATCAGGAAATACATATGAAAGCGAATTCTGGTAGGGATCTTGTCAGTCCAGAAATTCCACTTAACTTCGCTATGCCAGGCTGCAAACGTCGCGAATCATGTTCAAAGTAGAAGCATGTTCACAACAACTTGCAGCGTTGGTCTCTGTGCTTGCTTGGCGCTGCTTCCTTCATCTCTTTTGCCTTTTATCATGCCCCGGGTATTATGTCTGCCGTCTGCCTTGAATCTCATGTTGGACGTTCCAGGGTTGCGTACTGATGCTAATGCTAGCGCATGGGATTAAGGGAGACCTGAACCGAGCTCGAAGCTGTCAGAATTCGCTGCCTCTAGCAGAGGCACTGGGTGCAAGCTGCGGCTTCACTTTGTGAGGCCACTGCTACACAGATTGTGAGCCTTGCTTGGGAATCTCAAGGCTGCGCGGACCATGTACCATTTAGCAGGATCGTGCCAGGAGCTTTTCCAACTTAAAGCCCCTTCCCGGCTTGTCAGGTGCACTTCACTGTAGAAAGCAGTGGAAACTTCACTGCCAGGTGGCTTGCCGTCGTTCGGTCTCTGTCCAACGTAGTCGTTCTAAGAGTTGGCATGCAGCGGCTGGGAAGTGCTTCAGTTGCGGCTCAGGCTTCCTGAGGCAATGAAGAAACACTTGCGAAAGCTGCGCTACCAGAAGCACCCAGAGGCCAGAAGCGTTTGTGAAGATATGGTGATACTTGCACGAACCTAGGCTGTGCAGATTGCTCCGGTAGAAGCACGAGCGTGGCCGACTTAGACTATAAGAAGCCTTGAGCCCGAGCGCGGGACTGCTAAGTCTGAAGTAGCAGTACCAGGAGTGACTGCGACGAAAAAGCCCCAGGTGGCCCTATATTTGTAAATTTCGACCAGGTTGTATGGACCGCCCACGCGTGCTACTGTCATGCGGAGGATTAAAACGTTTGCCCGGTGGCGGCCGTACCCCTGGAAAAGACAAATCAGCAAGCTGGTGCGCGAGATGGGTGTCATCCTCCGCCACCACTGCAGCGAGTTGGATTCGTCAGGCAGCTGCCCTGCCCCCAGAACGTCCACAAGGAATCAGACCGCGCCGTCTCGCGCCTCGCCGAGCGGTCACTTTCCACCTCCTACGCCACTTCAATTCCTCGTCAAAGCATTGCCACAGGCCTATCGTGTTTCCTTTGCGGCCAGATCCCATGTTTTAGCCGGAACTTCGCTGGGACTCGAGCGGAGCTTGCTGACGGTGTCACCCTCGATGGCACGCAGACAGTCCGATGCAAGGTCCTCGCCTCCTGCAATGCACCACTACTCCTCCACTGGAGTTGCAGGCGTGGAGGAAAGCAGTACCTTGTGCAGCACAGGTTCAAGACATCTTGCCGCTGAAAACAGAGGACCACGGACCCCAGTGCACGTGGCGTCAACTCGACCATCGGGCGCGACCCGGCGAGTGTCAAGCCCGGCAAATACTGCAAACGGCGAGGCTTTCCACAACAGGGCGACACGTGTCTTTTGCAACTACAGTGGGACCAAGAGATACACTCGAGCCCTGGACCGCAACGCTTGAGACAGGAACCATTCGACGAAGCTTTCCGGGAAAGGCAGCTTGCACTGGGAGCGGCACGTCTGCATGAGACGACCGAGCACTGGTGAGGCTCCCAATGTGCGAGTTGCGAGACAGGACTCCGACGCGAGTTCGTGCGACTGGCGGGAGCGTGCTCTGCCCGCAGCAAATTGGAAGCAAGGCAATGCGACAGTATGAAACTGTCAGAAAAGAGCCTGAAACGAATTGTGGTATTGGTAGGTGATCATGAAGAGCGTGCTCAATCGCAAAGAACACGAATCGGCTTCCTGATGTGCAGCCGGAGTAGCGTTGGTAAGAAAAAGAAGACAGCATGGAAAGAAGTGGTCAACCAGCACAGCAGTGTGGCTTCAAACGCAAGTCTGTAGATGGAGACTGCATTCTAAAGTTTGGTCTGGTGGCTAGACTTTGTACATCATTGCATGATTGAATCTTAAGCGAAGCGCATGTCTTACCCCAATTTTTAGGAGATGGCTTGCACTAGACGGCCTCCCTGAATCGGATCTTATGATGCAGTTGCAACGTCCCCGCAGGCTCGGACCACATCTACGTGCTGGTTCAACTGTTTCAAAGATAAACTAGTTGGTGGAACAGTGATGCAATGCAGACTTTGGAAACCTCGATGCGGCTTGCTCAAGGTAACATTAAGGCGGTCTTCGGGGGGTGGCCGCGCCTGTAGTGATGTTTTTCTTGCGCCAAGCCAAGTTTCCCGGTTTTCGAGAGTGGAAGAATTGGCTTTCGTGGACCAGTACAAAATCGGCTCAAGCAGACAGTACACAATATCCGGATGTATCCAGTATGCATTGTCCTGAAGTGCGCGGTGTTGCAGAGCAGATCAAAACAGAAAACGACTCCGAGTCAGTCCTCCTCGGCACCCTCGGGAGATTTTTGCAGATTTGCATTGCTATCGTTGCCCGAAGCCACGTTGACATCGTGAGCAATCACCCTTGCAGCGTCGGTGTGAAACTTGCAGGTGTCCAGAACCAAGCAGCCGCAACCCCAGGACTTCAAGGCGCTGGGCATCCCTAATCATACGCTTCGCGTTTGAAGCAGCAGGATTCGTAGAGCCTACCAGGAGCCCTTGCAGTGGGACGCAGGACAGGCTTTCGTGGTGACCGTGACTCGAGGCCCGGTCACCCAGCTGGGCTGGAGTCAGCCATGGGGCCCAAAAGTGGAGTTCAGCGCGCAATTTTCGTGTGGAGGCGAGCGACACGAATGGCTTCTGTGCATTGGTGAGCTGGAAGACGCAGCGCAGCTAGCCATACTTGGATTTCTTGATTTCGTGGCAGGGTGTTCTGCTTGGAAGTTGGTGTTTCTCGAAGTCGGTGGAGCTCTCAAGGAACCTACAGAGGTCATTGCAGCGAAAGTGTCTTTTGTGAGATGGGTTTTGCAGGGGCTGCTCTTGCTTCTCATTTAGGGTCGACTGTCGCATGGTCATCCTTTGTCATAAGGATCCTACAGGAAGCATCGCACCTGGCCTCTTACCTGTTGGGGACCCACGGAGCAGACTCGTGGATCGAACGTGCGGGGCCCGGATACGTGAGTGTCCTTCACATGGCTGTGTGCATTGGTACGTGAAGGTGAGGACGACCCCAGTATCAGTGACGCTCTATGTGAGATCGGTGGCCTGACTGAAGACAGCAGAACAGGGACAGGCAGTGTGCCACGGCACCTTCAAGGCTGAGAAGATCAAAGCTGCAATTTGCACGGCTGTTGGCAAGTGTGACAACCCACCTGAGACACCCACACACGCCAAAAAAGGGGCCACATACGTAGATCCCCTTTGCCCGCGCAGGTGGTTTGTGGGGCGCGAGCCGGTCAACCCTCCTTACCGCGGCCAGCGGCCCGCATGCAGGGCCGCTCGGATCAGCCCAGCACCACTTTCCTCGATGCCCGCAGAGCGGTGAACACGAGCAACCCTAACAAAGCAGTGAAGTTGGCGTATCAGACCAACCGGATGCTCGCAGAAAGCGTTCGAGGCTTCGCGGTCTGGGCATCGGCAGCAACAAAAAGCTACGGCAACGAGCAGCCCTTCTGGCGCTGGTGCGCTTCGGGGAGGGCGTCGGGAGTGTTCGTACGAAAGGGTGAAAGTCTAGGTTTGATCACAAAATTGTAGGTTGGTTGGGAAGGAACGTTGCAGGCATCGATTTCCGAAGCTTCGGGCCCGAAGTCCCCGACAGCTTAGAAATATTTCCCGTTCCCGCCCTACCCTTCTTTACTTCCGCGGTTGAACGAGGGTCAGCAGTCTCAAGCGCAACCTCGTTGTTGCAGAGGGCCGTTCAACTCCTCCTTTCTTCCTTGAGATGCGGGGTTGCTTGAAATGCTTGAAATTCTTTTGGTATTAACCTCTCATAACCTCTCTAACCTTCTCTTGTGCCCAGCGCTTCGCTCTTCCCAACGTTTTGGACGCTGTAGTAGACATTGTTTCATCCATACGATGCCAAACAGCTCTCGCACTGTTTGTGGTATCGCCAGCCCCTCGACAACTTCAAGGTCCTAGCTACGGGGAAGGAGTCGACCACAAGGTCGTACCAGCGTCGTTTACGCCTACATATAAAGCGGCGGATGAAGAGAGGAGGTTGGGTGACGGACTCCGTTGACAGATAGACTTGTGGATGTTGAAGTCCCCAAATTTGAACGGCTCCATGTTGTGTGTTGCTGCAGGCCGCTACTGCTTTCGCCCAGTGGGGTTCGGAGGAGCAAAGCCAAGAGGCGAAAGATCGCAAAAACCGAAAGCTCAGCACTGGACGTCAGGAGCCTCTTCCAGGCAGCGCTGCCTCACTGAAGACCCTGGCGACAGCTGTCCGCGAGACATTGCAGCCAGAGGGCAAAAAAGGGGCCGAGGGCCAGATTTCAAGGAGACCCTGAACGGCACATCCAGCCCTGAGCTCTGCGTGTCGTTGCATGCGTGCTTGTCCCGGCTGGCTGCCCTAATTTTGGTTTGTGATGATTGCGGTGTTGCTGTGCAGTGGATGCTGGGTAGCGATAGCTTTGGATGGAGATGCCCTGTGATCCAATACGTGGTTCGTTGTGACTCAGGCTCCGAGAATTTTCTGGGAAAACCATTGCCGTGGCCTCAACAAGTTACTGCAAGTCTTGCCCGCCCTTTTTGAAGAAACAGGGATTTCCTGCGAAATTTTGTCCGATCATCTTCAGGCCCTTGTCTGACCTCTTCCAACGGGCGGAGGCTTTCCCATCCGCCACGCGAGGTGGCCAGGCCTAGCCAGCGAGCAAAATTGCAGGCAGAGAACCGTGTCGTGAACTCTGCGCTGTCCTCGTGGATCGTCAGTGTGGCTTGCGTAGGGGACTTATGATTTAGCTTGTGCGCATGACCGCGTCTCGTCTCGAGATGTTTGGTTTCTGTCGCTTCCTTGAGGCTTTGGTGGCGCTCGGCGCCTTCACACGCAGTCTTTGGCTCTCCGTCACCTTGTCTGCACAAACTTCCACTTGCCAGTCCGGCTTCGATCAGCACGTTGCCAACCGAGGGCATCGCGTGCTTCGCAATGCTGTCCACTGCGGCTTGCAGAGCAGACCCAAGTTCTGGTCGAGTTGGGGTTCAGTCTTTGCCGCAAGCCCAGAGCTTGATTGCAATCCGAGGCCTCTTCTTCATTACGAACATCTTTCAATGGAGATTCGGGCTGATGGAGGCAGGGCTAAAATATCGATCGAGAGGTTGGAATCAATGGGTTCAAGTGAAGCAGGCAGTGTCGCTCATCATTTTCTGCGGCTTCTCTGTGGACTATCCCTTGCACGTGCCCAGGCAGCACAGGCAATCGAACAGCTCAGTTCTTTTTTCATTCCGTCTTGGCCCGGTTAAGCCATTCCACCGAGGTGGTGCAGGCGTATGTCCAAGAACGTAGCAAAGGCGCGCCAGTCATGAGATCTCTATCAGCGACATGTAGCTCTGCCGGATGCTGGGGGCAGCCAGCACGTTGTTCCCAAGCATCGAGGTCGAGGAGTTTGTAATCTATGAAAGCGGTTTTCGATTCCTGGAAAACAGCTTCTTCTTTTGGAAAGCCGTGGCAAGGTCCCGTGGAAACGACAGTCCAGGCTGATTGCATAGACCGGCATCGCAGCTGTCCAGCGGGTTGCAGGCTCTGGCGTCCGTCGAGCACTTCGAGAAGTCGGGGGAGCAGTGGCATCAGGCGATCACGGTTCCACGAGTACTCTGCAGGACTGTGGGTGTTTCTTTGCCGTCTGTACGAAACTGGAGTCGCCTAAGCCTCCTGCTCCTGCTCCTGCTCCCCCTCCTGCTCCTGCTTCCAGTACTTGCTGCTACCGCTACAGCTGCTGTCACGACTGCCACTACCAGTAGCACTACTACGAAAAAGCAGCAGCACCACCACCACCACCACGACCACTGCCACTGCGACTATTCGTATCGGCCAGGCTGTGCGACGACTTGTGGAGCGGCCATGCATGCAACTCAGGCTGAAGCCCAGACGTGAGCAGCTATGCTTTTCCAGTTGGCGCATGTCGAACATGCACAGCGCTCTCTGGAATTAGTAGGAGGAGGAGGCGGAGGAGGCGTTGTGATGATCATGATCTTGATCGTCATCATCATCAGCAGCATCAACAGCATCACCAGCATCACCAGCACGCTGGTCATCACCACCTTCCACCAATGAAAGCAAGACTAGAGCCAGCAGCAGCTCTGCAAGCCTTTTCCCCGGTGCTACTGCCGGCACGATCCACAATTGCACTCGCTAGACTGCTGCAAGTCATCCAGTATTTGTGCATGATTGCCAGATGGAGCTGGTTTGCCGCAGTTTCCAGCCAAGCTCCGAGATGTGGAGGAAGGATGATTGCCCTTCCGCCCAAAGTGCCACCTCCGCTACTCACTTCCGGAGACGAAGCTGAGCAGGTCCAAAGCAAGTCATGAGTCTTACAACTGCTTGAATTGTTAGTGAGATAAGCAGGACGGTTATGTGGGACAGCCATGAGCAGACGCAGACACACACATATCTGAAGGGCTACAGTATCAGTTCTTAAACATGCACAGATAAGAAAACATATATATATATATATGTATATATATATACATATATATATATATGTATAGTGTATACATGTGTATATATATATATATAAAAACTTACACTTCCATGCTGATATTTTTAGACTTACACTCATACTCATACATCTAGATGCATATGTACATGTATATGTATATATGTATGTATACAGTTATTATTTACTTTGACATGTATTTATGTGTTTGTTATGTTGTGTTATATTTAGTCTTCTTTATGTTTGTCTGTGTAATCATGTTTGCCAACCCTCCACAAAAAAGCATAGTGCGGGTGAAACTCAGCATCATTCAATTTAACTCTTGATTTATAATGCAGCCGTCAAAAATCCAAGATGCACCAGCAAGTTTGTAGCCATAATCTTGCATCCGGCATGCGTTTCAGTATAATTCTGTAGTTTCACGGAGATATAGTTTGGTTCTAAGATCCAAGATGCTCCCAAAACTTTGCTGGTGAGTCTGGATCTTGAATCCGGTAGAAGATCCAAGATCCAAGGTTTTTCAAAATTTGGTTGGGTGAATCTTGGATCTTGGATCCCAATGGGTTGCAGTATAAGGCAGCATCATTCAGTATTCATACTGAAAACTCGATGTGTGCGGCGACCATGATTCTAGAATGCACATGGTCTTACTTCCGAATTGCTGATGCCGGCATGTCTAAGAGGCACATGACATCTTTTGCAAAACAGCGTGCAGTGATTGCTATTCGATTGCGTGCAGATGCAATAAGCTCGAGGGATAGCCTACGATACCCAGTCTCGGCCAACAACATCGCGACGCTAGGACTGCGACTTGTGTGTGATGAAGATGACTTCAACCCAAACACTGGGATGCAAACCCTCGAGCATAAACCATGTCAGCTTACATAAGGGAAGCATAATGCGGCCCAACCAGTGATCAGACTAAGTCCTGAACCATCGAAGGGCCAAAACATCGTTCCATATGCGGCAAGCATACGGGAATCTTTTGCCCACTTCTCAAAGGCCGATATTGCCTCATGATCCCATGTAGGCTAGCTCTGTGGAGCTTGCGGAAGTTGTCGTTTACCAGTTTGCCCAAGTAAGCAGTAGTGACCCTAGGTCCAAATCGTGTCCAAGACCTTTTTCTGGGCCGTTCACGATACTTACTTACAGGAAGTAAGATCATGGTGTGTGAGCCCCAACCCAAACAGGTTAGGAGAGAGGGGACACCCCTGTCGGAGACCTTCCGTTTGAGAACAGATGGGAATCTCTGAGAAGAAACACGCACAATGAAGGTCGGGTTTCAATATAATGCCATGATGACTTTGCGTGTATGTTGCGGGACTCCTGCATGTTCCACAGAGCCGTTGATGGCTGTAAAACTATCTGAATCGAAAGTCTTGGACCATTCTAAGCATTAGGGCATGGAGAGAAGTGTCTCGCTTTGCAAAAATCCTTAAGAGCCTTCGCAGAACGTGCATGGGTTGGTTGGAGCGATTTTTACGAAAGCCATACTGCGTGGAGCGGATACGAGAATCGACGTTAGATAGCATGGAAGCGGATATTTTGCAAGACACATTGGTAAGTGAAATAGGGCGATAGTTGGAGAGAGAACGAGTATCTTCTTGATGGTCCTTGATTAGAATAACCACTTCGGAAAAGAGCATCGAGATAGCGAAATGTATCTGAATGTGCATGAAGTTTTCGTAAACAAGAGCAACATAATATGATTTACACATAACCTAGCATTACATACTTGGGTATTTGGTCAACCGTTCGTGATGCGAGATTAATTGGAGACTAGGGGCGAATCATTAATCATATCAAACAGGGAATGACTCATCACTGCTTATTGCATATAGCTGAGTTCCAACTTAAGATACTGAACACCAGTTATTTAAGATATACTTATGATCGAGTCTTCTCGAGTAAAAATGTTGCGTAATCAGCCGCGCTCAGCATGTAATAATGGAATATTGGTTCAAATATGTAACGGGCATTGGTTACATACTGTTCTCAAAGTTTTCACGATAAACAATATCGAATATCATATACAGGCATCTAATTAAGGATTATTTGGACAGGTGTCAGCTAAATACTAACTTATTTTGCTACATACCACTATGTGAAGCATTAGTTCAATATTTTTCCAGGTTAGTTACATACCCGTCAGAGTACGCGAGCACTAGATTGCGTAGATGCCAAGCGAGTACTGTATTCAAAGGAACAAAATCTCAATACTAATTGGATCTCATTTAAGTGGTACTTACCTATCACATAAACAAAAAACATTTCACGTGCTCGGTACATAGAATAGCTATCATAGATTCGCTTGCCACTTGCATCAGATGATAAGCTGGTCGATACTGTCATTTGTCCGCATGTCCTTACAACAGGTCGTGGTTGACGGTGCTATAATCACTGCATAAGAGGATGAGATTGACGGTGTTGGCATTGCACAAGAGGATGTATTGCTCAACGTTTATAATGCCGGATCGCATGCAACGGTAAGAAGAGCTATCGATTGTCCGATTCTCATGCTGTCTTCAGATGACGATTTGTTTTGTTTGCAGTGGGTATGTATGCATGTATGTATGTATGTATGTATGTATGTATGAAGAAGAAGAAGAAGTTTGACAGTCTTAGGGCCAGGGTGGTTCCCTGTCATAACAACCACGCGATTCGAATGCTTTCTTTGCGCGTATATGCATGTATGTGCATATGTATAATCATATATATATATATAGATACATGTATACGTGTTTATGTGAAGATGTATGTATATATATAATACTTATTTATATTTATATTTGTATATGTATATGTATATGCATTTTGTAGATGTATTCTTATATGTAAGTGTATATATATATATAGCATGTATACACATATGCGTATATGTATGCTCGCAAAGAGAGGGTACCGTGTTCTATGGTAAATCAGACCTATTTCGGCCTGCAGAGCGAAATTTGCACTTTGAGACCCTGAGCAACAACAGGATGGAACAAATGCGGAGGAGACTGCAGAGGTCCTGGCTGACCAGGTGCCTTCGACTGTTGCGATTGACATATAAGAAGCTGCGAGAGAAGGTGCGTGTACAGATAGCAAACTTATTAGAAGATGATCAATATTGCTTGTGACAGTGCTACGCATAATTAACACCATCACCATCATCAGCTATCATCATCGTACCACCGCCACCACTACAACTACTCCCAGAACTGCTACTCCACTACTCGTCGTGTGGTCATACATGCTACACAACGTTGAAAGGAAAGGCTTGTAACGATGCAGTACGCGGGAGTACCATGGGGTACATGTTTCGTTTGTCGTTTGACCGTCGAGATAGTAAAGATCGACGGTTGCATAGTCATCAGGATCTTTGTAGCAATGCCGGAAAAGCAAAATACTGGTGATCTGAGCAATGCCAGGTGACGTGCATTCCAGTTACGGCTTTGTCCTTTGCCAAGCTCGCCGAGGATTTAAGGCAACTCCAGGACTGAATTTTGCAAGCCAAAGTTACAAAGGCCTAGCTACAACTCGAGGCTGACAGGCGCAGCCAGCAAGACAAAGGAGGTGTAAACACCCAGCTATGAAGGTCAGACCAATCCGCAGCAGGTGCAATTCCGCAGACTAAGCAAGCTTGCCTTGATCGACATCGCTTGAAGCCGACTTCGCTTTTGGGATGTAAGCATGAGAGGAGCAGCTCGTGGAGGCTCATGCGAGAGAGGTGTCTCTCGCATCCAGCACTGCAGACGGCCGTCGATCGTCAATGCTATCGGTCCGCTCCACGGCATCTGCTCCAGGCGCTTGGACCAATCTGAACTTCGGTTTGGCATGCGGTTCTCTCGCAGTTGCTGGAAAGCGGTGTGCAACCACAGCAGGGCACTTCCCAGCTGTGCCACTGGAGCGCGCGCAGCAGCTTTCAGGCATCAGCCTATCGCCCTGCAGCGCGCAGAGCCTTGCGACGGGACAAGGCCAGTCGAGCTTCAAGACAGAAGGCAAGCTTGTTCCATGTCATCAGCATCATAATGCAGCTTCTCGATTGGCAATGTATAATATAGCTTTCTTTCTTCTTACTAAGACCGAGAAGTCTTCACTGTCCTGTTCAAAAGCATCATGCCATAGACAAAGATGCGAAAGCAACGCGGCCGCAGCTCTGCTTGCACAGCACGGGAGTTTCGTCCTTCAGGTCTGTGAGCACGAAACAAGTCTCTGCTTCTGACACGATGCCTGGCAGGGAAAGACCGGAGCAGTTTCTCCCTGAAGAAGGCCGGTGGTATCGCCATCCATGCAGGGCAGACTTTAGCATCATGCCGGCATGTAGTGTCTCCAAAGATCCGTATCCTTTTGCAAGCACAAGATGCGCTTGAAAGCTCGGAGCAGGATGCCGACAGTTCCGACTTTATGCCGGTCTCTCCGTCGCGTGCTGCTTGCAGTGCTCTGTCCGAACTGTTGCACCCGCGAAGGAAGGACATTTGGAGGTTGTGGGAGGTATAGGGATCGCTTTGAAGCTCCTGGGGTTGAGGCTCCGATCGTTGACAAACCTCGCGTAATTTCATAATTACTCCCGTCAGAACAGTTGCAGTGCTTGGCGAAATGTTCACAGAGGTTTGTTTGCTCATCTTTGCACTCAGCCCTTGGCAGATGTGGCAGTTTCTTCATGATTCCAATCTGTTTTATCTTCATACCTACAGCCTCAGGTAAGGGTCCCTCGCTGCCAAAGCGTTCACAGAGTGGAGGCTTGCACGGAACGCCCGCACAGGAGTTCAGGGGCACATGCAGAGGAGAGAGCGGGTGCTTTAGTCTTCGCTTGGGTGCTGCAGTCAGCGTACCTGGGCAGCGGATAGACGAATGAATCTCTTGGCCATTTAGCAGATTCAGACAAGCGAATCGGAAGCCAGAATCATTCTGGTTCGTGCACTATCAAAATCATTCCGAGCCCGCGCCGAGTGTCGAAGCTTTTGAAATTGCAGGTCCAGGTGAGCGGAGCGCACTCATGCCACGGCCAAGCAGACACGAAGGTGCCTCTGTTGCGTTCAGCTGGCAGCGGACGAGCGTGACGGCTCCTGTGTCAGGTGCAGATGTCGACGCCAACACAGAGGCCTGCTCTGCTCTGCGCCGCGGACTGTCGTCGCACCAATCAAGCTTCAGGCTGTTCAGGCCGAAGCGTTTGGCGTGCCAGGCTCCAGTGGCGCTCACGGTGAGGAAGTCTTTGATGGTGGAGGATGCGAAGACGATGTCCCGCTCGGTCGCAGAGCAGGCGAGGAGAAGGGGACTCCCGGGGCGACCTCATCCCTCATCTTTTCGCCTCCCGGCCCGGCTCCAGGCCCGGAGGCTCAGCAACAACTTGGAGGTCGGGGCCCAGCCGGGCAGGGCTAAAGCGAGAGTCGACTTAACGGGGCGGTGCGGGAAGCAGAAGCCGCGTTTCAGGAGCAAGTTCTGGAGGAGCCATTGTGCGGAGCTGTGCCTTCGTTGCTTCGGCCTTCGCTGTGTGCCCAGTACATTTCTTCTGTGCTGCTTTCGCAGCCTACCTAGTGACCTGAACCCAGTGCTGGAGGAGCTGGAGAATGTGCCGACCTCATGCCAGTTGCGTGGAGAGTGGGCCATCAGTGACGAGGAGCGTCTGAGTTTCTTGGACGTCGAAGGTCCTTGTACCCAGCCAGGACTTGGTCGAGCTGAAGAAGCGTACTATCAAATGCAGCCCGACAAAGCGCTCGACAGGCTGCCAAGGGTAGAGCTTGTCAACCCATGCCAAGATGCCAAAGATTTGAAGGCTGGTCTTGTGACAGGGAGTCCTGAGCCTCTCTGTCTTTGTCATCCTTCCCGGGTGCTTCCAAACAAGAAGCTTCACAAAGCTACTATGTCTTTGTTGCGGAAAGAGTCAGAAGATGCGCACGGCTCACCCACGAACCAAACATTGCTTGGAACTCTGTTCGGAGGCTCGGCCCACTGGTCTTACTTGCCACCAAGTCAGCGAGTCTACTTTCACGCTGGGGAGGCAGGCAGTATCGGATTTTTGTGGGTGAGGGTCCTGAATTAGGGCCACCATGAATCATTGGGGCTCGGAGCCTGCGATCGCTTTTCGGCGCAAACCGAGCCAACGTTGCCAAGCTATTACATTACATTTTGAGAGGGTCTCCATACTGGGCGGCACAGGGGTAGCAGGTCATGCTATCGGAAGATGCACAACCTTGGATATTGCGGCCCTCATCAAAGCCACGGCTGGTTTGGGATGTCCTTGCCCTGGTTGCCACCTGGCGGCATGCTTCGCGATGCAGGCACTGCAGCCCAAGCCAGTGCCACTGGGGCAACTCACTTGTCTCCTCATTGCTCCTGAGCATAAGCATATATAAGCACTTCTCAGGTGATCGTCTACGATTTGGTGACAGTGCCACTCCAGGCTTGCATTGCTGTATTGTTGCCTAGGCAGTGTCCGTGCATGCAGATGCACTGGTGCCCCGGTCTTTCGCCGGAAGGTCTTTCAACTGGATGCGGCCTTCCACGAGACCAAGCGTGGTTTGCAGCTCTTCACCACCGTCTTCTGGAAACTCGCCTCACAAACCCAACCCTGGTCTTTGCCTGGCGCTTCCAAAACTTAAAGGAGCTTTGCAGTTCCCCATCCGAAAGGTTGGGTTTAGTGACTTTAGCGTGCCTCAGCCACATGTCAAGCTTGTAACAGCTTGATCCGACAAGACTGTCTGTGGGCTCTATCTGCTTCATCTCTGAGGCTGCTGGACATCCCCACCAACTTCCTGACCGCTGTCTACATAAATGGCGCTTTGCAAGTGGACCCCTACAAAATTGCTCGGGCCTACAGCCGATCTTGGCTCTGTTCCTCGTTCGAATCGTTTTTCCCAGCTCGGCCTGGGGGCCTCGGCCTCGGTCCGTTTGCAGGCTTCGACATCCTGGTTCTGGTCCCAGATGTGATGGCCATTGTCGAGGGCGCTCAAGATGCCGCAGAGGGTACCGAAAGTATAGGCCCTGGGCCCTGGGTTCCAGCACCTGGGAGTTGTGCGAGAAAGCTTTCGATGCAGGTCTCCTCCGAGCGGCACGAACCGGTCGTTTGCTTCGCTTGGTTCGCTTCCTTCGCATACTCAGGCTGGGTCCAGTCGTCCAGTCGGAGTAGGACATGGCCAAGCCTAAAGATTGCAGCGGCTCTGCTCAGTGCAAACCACATTGGAGCCACAGGGTATTGCGAGTGAAATTCCTACACCACGCCTTCCCTGAAACCCTGCAGCTGGCATCAGCTCCCTTTTTCAGTTGCAGGATGTACGAGTAGAAGAGAAGCTTTGAAGCGACCGTCACGCCCATGCCCTGCGTGGCTACGCTTTGCTTGTGGAGGCTTGCGAAGTTGCTCCAGGTGTTGGGATCGCTCTCGGCACGCAGCCTATCTGCAGAAACGTAGCGTCAATGCTACGGGCTGCTTTCGGGTATGGGTGCATGCCGCCTCGGGCAGTGTTGGTGCAAGGGGAGATCAGGGACAGTTCTTGTGAGGGTGAGCGGTTCAATCCCGGCTTACGTCTCCAGGCATCAACCACGAGATGGCATTGCTTGCCTTCGGCATCACGTGCCTGGTTGCATTGGCCTCTCTAGGGTCAAGTGCAGTGGTCATCTTGCCGGTGATGTAGCTCTTTTCTGTTATTCAGCCGAGGAAAATGATCTTCCTGACCGCATATCTCGGTCATTTGCTGTCTTGCCTTTGGCCGCTTGGTGCTTGACATGATACCTCATCACCGACGACACCACCTGGCCAACGGCCACGGTGCTGATTCAACTCAGGTTCGCAGTTGGTGATGTCGAGGAGAGGAAGAAACATGAAAAGACGGTATGCCCAAGTTCGGGTAAGTGGAAAATTAAATCTCTGCAGGATGGCTGGGTGTACACCAAGGGCCTGAATGGTGCGCCTTTCCATCTGCAGTACCTGACATCTTTGGAGTGGGCACTGCCCCTTGACCACGCACTTGGATTGCCTATGTCGGTCTTGCGCTGAGTGCACAAAGAACAGCCAGGTCCCGCATCCATCCCTCGGCCATGCAGAACAACATGTCCCTTCAAACGGGTCCAGAGCGAGCACTTGCAATCGCTGCGAGCTTCCTTGCTCTGGGGGTTTCCTCCCTTTTCATCAGCTGCTCGGCATTTCAAGCATGTTCCAAGCTGAAGATGCACGGTCTTACGAGGTTCGCATGTCGTTCATGTAGATGTTTGTCAGCACATCGCGCCGTCAGAAGCATTTTGTAGTAGGTTGCGGTGACACGATCTCTTTTTGCGTTTCGCCTGCAGGCAGCATCACGAACACCATGGCGGACATAAACCGAGAGCGGCAGCGGAAGAAACAGATTCTTTACTCGGTCCGCGACTACTGTGGTTCTCATCGCATCTCCTCCGGTCATACACTGCGCATCAAGCAGCCCCCTGATGACATGCAGAAGCACTCGTTTGCATGTCCATGTGTAGCTGGCTCCGTTTCGACTTGACTGCAAACCAGTACTAGAAATGGGGCCGAGGTATGTTGAGCGCGAGCATCATCGCAAGAAGACCCAGCAGCTGCACTTGGAGCTCTTGGAGACCCTGCCGAAGGTTCATTCTTGACACCCAGCCCAAACCGGAACCCCACCCCGCTGACTTCATTTGGGATGACGTGGTAGGACATGCTCTTCGAGCTCTTCCACGAAGGCCGTGACTAGGCAGCAGCATCCAGACGTTTCTAGAACTCTTTCTCTCTTGGCGTCACGTCGTGGGAAGAAGGGGATTTCTCTCTTCCCAGATTCTTGCACGCTGCTGCAGCCGAGACCCAGTCTGTGCTGTTTTCACTACGAAGCAGGAGAGCCGAAGTTTGCAAGGGAAGCGCCCAAAAAGACTTGGAGGTGAGGTCGGGGGATCTTGATGAGAATTGAATAGTTTTGAAAGGTGTTTGTGTGTATATGTGTTTGTCTGTGTTTGTACCGGCCAACCTAGGCAGCCAGGCACTGCAGCATCATTCCCTCTTCGACCGGCTTGGCCGGATAGATCCTGTCATGGAACTCAACTTCTGCAACAAGGCCCGGCAGCATAGCTCTACACTGCATTGCAGCAGATCTTAGTCGGGCCTTCCGAGCGTCACATCATGGACGAATTCACAAAATCAGCCGGCTGCAGACCAAACTCTGCTTGCAAGCCTGATTCAGCCAGTGGGGTCGGGCCTGTGATGCAGCAGCGTGCCCCGCGTGCCCGTAGGTGCTGGCAGAGCTTCATGTCATGACCCTGGACAAGGTGTTCAAGTCTGAAGACACGGGCAAGGCGCGAACCTTTCGCAAGACTTCGGAACACAAAGCAAAGCATGGTGAAGGCTTTTGACAAAAAATAAATGTTCTGGTCGAGACTCTGAAAGAGACTTTCGAACTTTTGGGTTTGGCAGCTTCAGAGCAAAATGTGCCTAGCCCGCTGCTAGACCGTCGGTGCTTTTCCTGGCACGCCATGCTGGGCCGATGTGGGGGGGTTTCGGTGCTTCAGGAGGAGGGAGCCTCCACAGAGAAAATGTGCCTAGCTCGCTGTTCTATTTCGAGGAGGGGCTGTCTGGAATCCAGACTCTGGATTTATTGTTTTTTCTAGCTTCAGCCTCTAATGTCTTGAAAAATGAGTTTTCGTATCACAGAAAAACGCCGCACTGCTCAGGCCATGTACATTCCCGCAGCGGGGCAGTACAACTACGAGTACCTTCCACCAAATCTTCGGGCAGCACCGGCCCAACCGAAGCATAGCAAGATGCGGCGCCTCATGCATCGCCTGAGTCTCCGAGCCTTGGACCGAAGAGCGACACTTCCGAATATCTCAGTTGTGCCATGTTTCTTCAGGGGGAACCTCTTCGGTCAGCTCAGCGTCCTTTGAGCACTGAGGCAGCACCGAATCCAAAGTGTGGCCGCCCCTGATCTGCGTTAGCCTCGCGTGTTGAAACTGTTGAAACTCCCCATGCCGCAATGCCGTGCTGGACGCGCTGAGGACGGAGGTCGCAGCCACCACCACGGCAGTGGGTCCAGGCGATTGCTTGAGCGAGTACTGCCTTTGGGTGGATGGATGGAAGCACCGCGGCCTCTCGGAAGCAAGAAGCAGCAAGCCATGATTTCACGGGCGAACTGAAGTTCAGAGTAATCTCGCCATAGATCTGGAACTTAAATACTACTTTGGATCCGGCCAGCACAGTCGCTTCCACCAAATATTGTTTGTTGCGTCCGGCTACCCCAATCCGGTTGGCGTGCAGCGCCCTTAATATTTTCAATTCAAGCGACACAAAAACTCGCCGACCGTTTGCAGGTTTTAGTCGTGCAGGCAAAGACGAACTTAGTTGCCGTACATCTGTAGATCTCCGACTTTGCCGTCATTGTGGGTGTTCTGACGGTTCTCATGGTTTCTGGCTTGCAGTGTCCGACGGCTGTCATTGATACTTGTGATTACCATTGGCAGCACTTTGTCCCTGTTACCCACATACGGATATTGTGATCGTGAAACCTTTGTGTTTGGCTTGGTGGTGGTTTCTTTACCCGGCTACATGGTGTTCAGCACTGTCACTTTCATCACCCCGTTTGGTTTGTTCCACGACACTACCCCAGGCACGACTAATCATTAGGCAGCTGCAAGGACAGTAGCGGGGCCGATGGGAGCAAGCAGCAGTAGTAAGCAGGCGAGAATGCTCGGAATCCTTCACAGTCAGTTGCGCGACGCAAGATTACGGCAGTCTCGGTATCGCCGTGTGATCATCGCCGGTTGCTTCTTCGATGCGCTTCACCCAAGGCAATCTACAGGCGGCAGTTGACGGCAGGTTGATCTCGGTACAGGTCAGTGAGATTGGCAAATTTCTGCCGTTTGCCTGCAACAGATCTTCGCGTCATGGAAGCATGTTGCTGTCATCACCGAGTCATCGGGAACTGTATTGCCTGCTGTTCGGAACAAGCAGCTGCCGTGAATTATAGGAAGCCTGCTTGTTGCTCATGCGTAATATGGCTACATTGCAAATCATTCCAACATATTGCAAGGAGGATTGACCACACGTCAGAACTTACAGATCACTGGCTGCCAGATTTCGAGGGGTATGGCGGTGAAGGTGCGCAGGCGTCTATTGTTCAGCTGGGGCTCTACGCTTCATACATGGTCGTCACTCTGATGAGCCCCTTTTTAAGGTCACGTGTTGGCGTGTTTTCTTGGTTTTAAATGCATTTGCCATGCAGGCAAGATTTCCCTGCAACTTTGGTGGACACAGATGCGGTCTCAGCTTCACGAGTGATGTGCTAGGCTGACCTCCTGTTAGATGCATGCGACCTCCCAAGCAGCAACGCCCGCTTCTTCTTGGAAGCCTTGAACAGGCACTTGCTCCTTCAACATGGCATCTTGCCTTCACAGCTGATCTACTGATTGCCCCCGAAGCTCGAATGACCAAGGCATTGTCACAGACCTCCCGCTGCCTTCCGCCTCTGAAAAGGAAGATGCATCCTTCAGCATGCTGCACGCACTGAAGTCCTTTCAAATGGCGACTTGGGCCGAAGCTGTAGCTGTTGCAGCGTTGCTGGCCAGCTCGGCGTTAGCTGGCCTCTAAGGTGAATCCAGCTGAAGAAGCATTGGCTCAGTGAACGGTACTTCTTCACTGTGTCAACTCTAGGAACAGGGTCACCGGAGGTTTATTTGAGCCGCATTTATGGAACCCTTCCAGCCCCACGGGGGATGAGTTTTCACCACCGTGTTGTGTCGCTGATTTGCGTCCGTGGGGTTGAGGCCATGGGGGCTGCTGAAAGCATCCCTAGCCCTAGAGTTCAAACCACCAAAGTGTTTACAGCGGCGTGCCTTTTCTGAAGACTTGGGCAGCCGAGCGGCAGGCCAACAGTGGCTGACGCTGTGCCTGAGCCTTTCGGCGTCTTGTCGTCGCCGTGCCGTGTTGTGTGCGGTCTCTTTTTATCAAGCATTGACTCAAGGTCCCGTAGGGACCTACCTGTAGCGTGCTTGAAGTCGTGCCAGCAAGATGCCAGTGCACTCCCGTGGGATCGCAGTTTCTGACGCTCCTGGTGCCAGCACTGAGGTTTCTGCTCTTTTGCCAAATTCGCATCTTCACGCGATTTGGACAGGCCCGCAAGTGTCGGTGTGGCAAGCATGGGATCAACGCTGAGTCGGCTGTTCAATTTTCAGGGAAGGAAATTGCATCATACATAGGCGAGTATGCAGCCACAGGATATAGTTCCAGGTTGCTTGCCGTGCAGCCTTGCGGTTTAAGCGATGAGCTAAATAGGATCAGCAGAGGTGGGGCAGGGACTTTGAGAAGTGAAGCCCAAAGGGAAGCCGGCGCAGAGGCCCTGTCCAGCTTGTCCAGGCACTGCTAAGTCTGTCAAAGACATCCCTCGAGCCAGGCTATCCGAATGCGCCAGCAGCAAGCATTTTCCCTTCGCATATGGACAGGAATCCGCCAACCGTGCAAGAGCTACAAGAAATTTCACCAGATGCGCAGGCGGTAGGTCACTGCTGATTCCTACGGTCTCTCGTCATGCCGACAAACAAACTCCTAGCCTAAACCGAGCCGGCTGTTCTTTTCGGATTGTGGACTGTTGACAGCATCTGCGGGAGAGCTTTCCAGCTCTTACAGTGTGTATCCGTTAGCGTAACCATTGTGATTGATGTTTCAGAGTCTGCTGTCCCGGGTGAAAGCGGCTGCTTACTCGACATACAGAGCGTTGAGCTGGAACCTGTGCAGGTGCTGGTCGTCAATATGTTGCCAGTCCCCGAGAGCATTGACTTGCGTACTTTATCCTGGTGGTGAAGTTTACTGCAAGTTCATTCAATGTAAGAGTATGTAAGCCATACATACTCTGCCGCTCGAACGAGAGTAAGACAGCGCAAGACTCCGAAGCTCACGAATCACTCGTCAACTCAGACATGAGGTTCGCCCTCGTTTTCGCGTTGGTCTGGATTCCGGCAGCTCTTGAGCTGTGCCGCAACATGCAGTTCAGGCATGGGCATGGGGTTCTGCTTTGCACCTTCCTGCATGGCATGGCTGCACTTCGGAAGCTCTTTTCATGCTTTCACACACCGAAGACTAGTCGATTCCGAAGCGACCGACGCACACAGAACCCTGACCACAAACATATGCTGCATCCTGAAGACCTCCACAGCGTGAAACCGCACTGGCAGGAGGCGCAAGACGTCAGCCACGGCATGCCCGGCGGATGGCGAGGAAGGCGACAGCGTAGTTCTTCCACCTTGCAGTCGTGAGAGGAACCTTTCCTGCGCTTTGTTCAAAGGCTACGCTCTGGGACTTCTCGGAGGGCGGCCCACTCCAGGTGCCTTTCGTTTGCCTTTGCATTCTCTGAAGTTAGGGCAGTTAGGTGCCCAACACGCCATGGTGCAAGGAGCGGCCATGAATGGAGTGGTGTCAGCAGGATTCCTGAGGGTCACGGAGTGCCATCTGCAAGACTTCTTGAATACTCGCCGAATATTCCTTGGGGCAACATCTGAGCTAGACTCGACTCCTGGAGCTTTCATCGCAGTGTTGGATTGCTTGCGGGAGCCTGTAGGAGCCTCGTCCAGATCCCCTGAGCGCATCATGATGGACTGCTGTGCTTTCAGCGGTTTCCCTGTCCATTGGGGGCCCCTTGCAATTGACGGAGAGGAGCTGGATGGCTCCAGTCAAGGTACGCTCGTCCTTTCTCTCTCTGAGAGCTCAGCTGTTCTCGGTTTTGGACTCCACTCGTCGCTCGCATGTTCAGGCTTCTCGGCCCTTCAAGGCTCTCGCCCCAGCTTTCGAGGATTCCTCGGATGACTTGCACAGCTCACTGCTTCCTGCCCCGAGGCTAGCAACCCGTTTTCCTGCGTCAAGCGATGACCTTCAGATGATCTTGGGATGATCCTCAATTGTTCATAGCTCACATAGCTCACAGCACTCAAGACGACTTCTTGGGTCTGGATGACATCCATTTCCCTTTCCCTTCGCCTGATTTGAGAAACCTCTTCGAAGCAGAGCTTTTCGGCTTCTCTGATTGGGAAGTGGAGATTGCGATAATGACCGTGCCCGCGATGCCTGTTCGCTGGTAGCAGCGGTGCGGGCAGAAGACCGGCGTGATATGGATTAAGCCGAAACAGATGCCATGCTCCAGGTTGGCTGCGCCGAAGCTAGCACACTCAGCCGAGCTTGCGACCGAAGCATGTTTCGAGAGCGCTGCTTTCCCGCTGCCGCTCTGCTCTGCTCCTAGCGACCCTAGCGACTTGGCTGCCAAGAGCAAGCGCGTGTGCTTTGGATTCGTGGTGCCGGCGCGTCTTCGAAGCGAGTCGGCCTTGGTCTTGGCGGCCCCTGGCCCTGGCCAGGTTTTCCTCAGCCTGCCTATGACTTCGACTTCGAAGAGCTCCCTTTCTTCCCGAGCCGAGGGGGCCTCAAGCGGCTCAAGCGGTCTTCGATTTGTGTCTGGCAGGGGCCTTTCGGGCTGAGGCCTTCTGGGTGAGCCCCGAGAGGATCACCCTGGCAGGCAGGGAGGGTTAGGACTGTCCAGTGACGGCCCGGTCGCTGTTTAGCTTTGTGCATCAGCATGGTGTCAGAGTTGTGCTTGACGTACACGGCATTGGGCACGACCAGGGGGTGTTCGTTCGTAGATGGGGCGCTGCGAGTTCATGAAATTTCGCTCCTGAAGTCATCGTTGCGGCTTCAATCAGCGCCGTTCTTCTCGCCTTCGGACCTCAGCCGCGTCCCCAGACAATCGACAGCGTGAATTTGTTCTGCTTCTCGGTACGGAATCCTCCAACACCTCAACGGATGGATCTTCAGTTGAGGTCGCCGACAGCTCCAGGCATCCTCCGCAAGGATGCGCCAGTGGTGGTGGGCCCGGCGTGGTCCAACGTCGGCCCATGGGATTGAGGGGAGTGACATCCGCTGAAGTCCACGCCCACCTCCTTCACCTGTTGAACTGTTGGCACTGCCACTTCACGATTTGCTCTCTGTTCATGTCCTACGGGAAGCTGTTGCATTTCTGCTGCCAGGTTGTGCCTCAAGCGCCAGACGGCCCAGCTGTCTCCGTTTGAAGCTGAAGCCACGAGAGTCGCAGCCCAGGCCAGGATCCCTGATGCGCCGCGAGCCACGGACCGAGCTACCGCCACTCGGCACGGAAAGATTCACCCGAGAGGATTGGTTGATCTTGGCTCGCAGAACGGGCACTTTGCAAGATTTGTCTGTAAGCAGGCTGCACATCGATTCGCGCAAGCGAGCCCCAGGATGTGCGCACAGAAGCAATGCTTCTGCAAAAACCTGGTTCGGTGGGCCCGTGTGCAAGTGCTGCGATGCGGCGTGCATCCGAGAAGGCGAGGGCCGCAGGCCTCAAGGCTTGCTGCCGTATGGTTGCTCCTCTCTTGGAGGAGTAGGTTCGTGAGACCTCGACATAGACAAGATGGCGTGGGAGTATTGTGGTCTGCCACGGAAACCCATAGGGACCCAAAGTGTCAAAGTGGCATAGGGCGCAATCTTGCGGAATACGAGAATGATCTGCAGCAAGCATGGACGGACACATGCCTTCACAGTCCGGGAATGTGTCGGGAGACGGTTTGCTTTGGTACCTGTGAAGTTTTTGCAATTTCCTTTGAGCTTCCACAGGCCGGTGGTGCCAACAGAGCGCCCGGTCGAGTGGGGGCACCTGATGCGCAAGGAGGCGAAGGCACGCCAAGGGGGCCTTGGAAAGCCTCCAAACCTTCAAGAGCGCGTCCTTTAAGGCTTCTACCGTGCAAATGCCGAATGCATGTGGGGATCCTTGGATTCCGAGGTCTCAGGGAGGACTTATATAGATGGATGCTTCAAAAGCGAAGTTCCCAGCGGCGGACTTCAGGCTTCAGGGTTTGATGTTTTCTAATACGGACTTTTTCAGTCATCACCATCTAGACATGCCAGCGGCGACTACAAGCATGACGTTGCTCCTCGCCATGCCAGTTCAACATCTGGAATGGCTGAAGCTGCATTTGTAGAAGATGCCGCGCATCAGGATGCAGTTCCTGTTGTGACGGATCGAGGCACGTGCCCTGGAGGGAGCTCCATTTTGCTTGGCAATAACATGCAAGGAGCATGGCTAAGCATCGGATGAGTTGCGACATTTTCTGCAGTTCGCACCCGAGGCTCGGGTTCCACCATGTACGTCGCGGCGGTATTTGCGGTTCTCGCGGTTTGGAGCTTCGGGCAACAACTCAGGACGCTCACTGCTCGAGTCTTCAGTATTGAAACTGCAGCAATGGCAGAACAGCGATGCGGGTGGGGGTCATTTCTGACTTCGTCCTGAGATGTGCTAGGAGCACCTGGAAGCTGCTGCTCCAGGCATGGAGCACGTCAGTTCTAAATGCTATAGCCATAGCACTCAAACTGTCTCAAACTTGCTTGCAACAGTTCTTCTGTGCCTCGAGGGTTCTGGAGTTCACGGCATGCTTGCGAAGAAGCAATGAATCCGTACTCGGCCCCGAACACGGTG